ACGTTGCTTAACGTGAAAAGCTACTATGTAATGATATAGATTTGTACTTGAAAATTTACATTGACGGAATTGATGGTACTTTAGACATACACTACGCAATACTGCAGTGCTTGAAGCTAATTAATTTGAGTTGAATCTTAATCGTTATAAGTGATTACAAATCATTGTAGAACTATCTATGTGTATAACAGTTAATTAACACTAAGACTTACTGATTACAAAAAGCTATTATTTAGTAATGACTTGAAATTTTCGTTGCAACTCGAAATCACATTGTGAGTATTATTTGCCAGTAAGGATTTGGAAGTTTATGTTTATGTTCAAGCAAAAGTGATGGTAACTTTCACATAATTTCGATATGCCGAAAAATATGCTTTCAGTTCTATTATAACTTTTCCGAAAAATGATTCAACTCTTCATGCTTTCTACTTATATATTCAAGAATCTTAATTTTTTTGCAGAATTTATCGAAATAGCTATTAGTATTTTATAAACAATTACAGTTGGATATCAGCATACATTCCAGAGAGTAAAAATTATTGCTCACTAGACCGCTAGCAAATGAAAGTCACAAGTACGTTATGGATTCATGGATTAACATTAATTTCAGGTCGCTATCAATCATTAGACTACTCAATGTGCTCTTTAATTAATCGTTGTAACAATGATGTGCAGTTTTTAGAGTATTATTCGAGTATTCTCTGATTAATCAACAAAATTCATCGCATTGAAGCTCATCGTTCGGAAACATCATTGTAATTTGTGAGAAGCTGTGGAAAGGTCTGTTTTGTAATATGCTTATAAATTTTATGAGGAGATATGCAGGGCTTCATAGTTTTATTTTTTACAACTTGCTATTATTGCCCTTTTTTAATCCTACAATTTAAGCAGTTGTAAATGAACTAAAAGAAAATAAATGTAGCTTTTCGTATCAATTTTAACAGTTTTGATAGGAAATATGAGAAATTTTACTATTTTTCTGCTATTATTAACCGAATTATATATATATGTCAATTTTATATATGCCGTTTTTTTGTTTTACAGTTCATTCTAATAAATATTGCTTACAGATTCCTTAATATTACCAAGATGATTGCAAGGGAAGGTGAAGGCTGTTATGGTGCCATGCTGAACTCGTTCACTACATCGATGAAAGCTGATCTGGACAGTCCTGTCACATCCAATTTTGGAAATCGTGTAATGGAATATCGAGCTGATGTATGTATTTTTATTTTAAAAACGTAATATCGTAATTGAATATCGGTTTTCTATTGATTATTTATGACAAAACTGGTATTTGGAGCAACAAATTCTTTTCGAATTTTGCGTCACAAAAAGAAATTTTCTGTAAACGGATAATATTATAGTGAAAGCTTCAGCAATTGAAAACATTCATTATCATAAGTAGAAAAATATTAAACTTTGGTTTAGTTAATCAAATATTACGCAAATAATATTCTATGCTATGTACGTTTTAGTGAGTAGAAAATTTATATCTCGCTTATTTTTGTTCCATCAGTTTGATATCTGAGATTATTTCCATGTTGTTTAATCATATTAAAAAGGAATTGAATGATCATTTAGAAATCTTACAGGCGCAGCGAATAGTTGAAGAAACTGAAAGTCATATAGTCGATATGGAGAGATTGCGTAAAATCGGAAAAGATGTCGAAGAAGCATTATCTAGTTTATCCAAACATTTTGTGGCATTTGGACAAGCAGCTAAAGAAGTAATTTGTTAAACATATCTTAATAACTCAATTAAGAATTTTAATCCAGTGAAATAAAAACTGTTATCTTAATAATTAATCAACGTTGGCTTTGTAATTACCATCTAGATTGCCACGAAATGGACTTCAAAATCAGAGTCTCAATATGATTCAGATGTAGCAGTCGTTCTTATGAAGATGGAGTGTTATATTAAGGTATCACTATGCGCATGCGCTTTGATCTAAGAGTTTGAGGCATATTTCCTTCCAATTATTGCTATAAATTTTTTTCTGCTATATATATGTGTGACTTATGCAAAAAAGTCTTGCTTGCGTAAGTTAAGTTTTTTGTGCTAAAGGATGAAGTTGATTTGACGAATATGCAAATGCACAACTGGCAAGGTAATATTGTCAGTCCATTGCAAACATTAGTGGAAAATGGACGTGAAATCCGCAATCGTGGTGTGGAGCGTTCATGCCGAGATTATGAAAATAAGTATGTAAAAGCCGAAGCTGATGCCAGAAAACATGCCAAAGTTCGTCCTATCTCCAGTTAGTGAGAAAATAATGAATCACTTCTGAATCACTGTCATTGTGTTCAATCTATATATCGCACAAGTTTTATCAAAATTAGTTCTTATGATTTTTTATGAAATCGTAATAAATATCATAAATTATTTGTAATAAGCTATTTTGCATTTCGTTTTCTCCCATCAAAAAATCATATTTTTGCAACAACGCTCATTTTGAAGCATGCTGGTTATACTAGAGGCCAACTAGGTCATGGTGAACTAGCAGAGCAGTTGGCTAGAGAAAGACTTATGGTTCAATATGAGTTGTGCAAAGTAAGTATTAAAAATTCATGTTCAGTTGATGTTTTTCATACCGACTATATCGAAACGTGGATCAGATTATTAGTCTTAGTTTTATAGATCAAGTTTCTTTGCGCTATTAATGTCTGAGAATGAATACTTGAAACCTATATTTTGTAAAAATATCCTCTCTTTTTATGATCTGATTTTCAGCTACTTCACGCCGAGTCTTGAAAATTTCATTTTTCTTGGTAACAAATTAATCAGTACATAAATTTTTAACCAAGAATTTCAGTTTTTGATGTCTGTCGATGCAGTAGAAGATCGACGTGGTCCCCAATTACTTCGACACTTTATGGAACTTGTTCGTAATCAGAATTCGTCAGTTTCAGTTTTCCTTTCATGAAAAATAATTTATAAATATTGAGCTGGCAGTAGAATTTCGTTATGTGAAGCTTGTAATTCTGATGCTCCGAGACTTGTTATTCCATGAAATTTTTGACATGCTTTATAGAATCTTTATCTTATGTTCAGGATTGGTATTTCTAGGTACTATGTTAACCGGATTAAGGTGAATGAAGATTTTCGGCATGACATGTCAAAATTAGAAGAACGAATGATGGCACGGAATGCAAATCGGTGTGCTCAAAGAAATTTACTTTGGGATCTGAAAAGCCAGCTGGAAGGAAATGAAGAGTTCTCACGTTCTATATCAGGTAAATCTTTAAAATAAATCAGAAGCAATGTTTTGCCTAAGGATCATTTAAATTAACTTTATTGCTCCCAACACTTTTTTGTGCTTATCAAAATCATGCTAATCTGAATTGATATATTTCCTGTAATGAGGAAATCTCAATAGTGTTACAATTCATTTATACACTTGATTTATGCTAATTAATCACTTTTTCCCTTTGTAGTCCTGATTTTTGTTTTTTTTTGTTTTTTGTTTTTGCAAATATCATTAAAAAACAGTTCTTTGAAGGACGTCGTTCATGCGGACGGGACTCAGTAAATCGTGGCAGCCGTTTATCGGGTATCAATTTAATTAGCGCCAGCAATGCACTGTCAACTGAAAATGACTCACTTAGCGAATTGGCAACAAGTACAGCATTCTTTCCTGATCTTGATTTCACTCAATCTGGTTATTTGTATAAGAAAAGTACGAAGAAATTGCACAAACAATGGCAAAAACGTCGCTGTCGAATAGAAGATGGCCATTTTTGGCTTTCGCATTCCGATGTTATTTTTTCTTTAAATTATAATGAAGAATTTTATTTAAATCATTTTGATTATATAAAAAGAAAAAATCCATTGAATCAGTTGTATTATGCTAGTATATGGGAGGTCCTAGACCGGATTTTTTTCAGGAAACCATACCACCGACAAAATTAAATCTGCTTGTTTCGGATTGTAAGCCTTCGGTGGATGATTCAAAAGCATTTGATTTGTATTGCCGAGAAAGAACATATCATTTGCAGGCTGATTCAGAAACAGATGCTAAACGGTATTGCTAAAAAATTTTTGGCTGATGTCGAAATATTGGAAATCAAATGTTTTCTGCAATCTTGTTTTTAGATGGATTTTGGCACTGAAGCGTGAAATAACGAGAGTGAAAGCTAAAATGCTATCTGCTGAAACACCTCAGGGAAATGAAGGCAATGGTAGTGGACTTTCAGAAATGTATGAAAGAAAGTTGCGTGTTGCAAAAGTTCAGCAACTTCCGGGTAACAACGTGTGTGCAGATTGTTCATCAAAAGAAGGTTTAATTGACTTAAATTATTTAACTGTTATGAAAAAATGTTTTTTCTGAATGATCGATCGAAAGTTTTCATCATGCAGCACTTTTATCGTCGTTTTGAATTTTACAAGCAGAATTTCTAGATGTGCAGTGGTTATCCAATCTTGGTGCATTAGTATGTATTGCTTGTAGTGGTGTGCATCGGGAATTAGGCGTTCATGTTAGCAGAATACAATCTCTAAATCTAGATGTTATCTCACCGATTGAATTCCTTGTAAGTTTTACAAGCAACAATTGTAAAGTCTTGTTAAATCTAAGATGTAAGTATAATACACCGCATTATAGTATTTATTCTGCATAAG